CCTCTGGGTTGAAAGTTGTGATTTTTTCAAACAAAGAGTGCAATTGTGTGAAAACGTCAATTTTTCGGACAACTTTACCAAGTCGGTAAAAATCAGTAGTTGACCCGATTTGATTGAAATTCTCATGCGTTTGAGACTTATCAGTCTTCTATAGACTGTGCAAGTTTCAAGTTTCTACTACCCCTAGGTTGAAAGTTGTGATTTTTTCAAACAAAGAGTGCAATTGTGTGAAATCGTCAATTTTTCGGATAACTTTACCAAGTCGGTAAAAATCAGTAGTTGGGCCGATTTGATTGAAATGTTCATGAGTTTGAGACTCATCAGTCTTCTATAGACTGTGAAATTTGAGTTTGAGACTCATTAGTTTTCTATAGACTTTGAGAGTTTCAAGTTTCTGCTGCCCGTGGGTTGAAAGTTGTGAATTTTTCAAGCAAAGAGTGCAATTGTGTGAAAACGTCAATTTTTCGGACAACTTTACCAAGTCGGTAAAAAGCAGCAGTTGTTCCAATTTGATTCAAATTTTAATGGGTTTGAGACTCATCTGTCTTCTATAGACTGTAAAAGTTTCAAGTTTATACTGCCCCTGGGTTGAAAGTTGTGATTTTTTCAAACAAAGAGTGCAATTGTATGAAAACGTCAATTTTTCGGACAATTTTACCAAGTCGGTAAAAATCAGCAGTTGGGGCGATTTGATTTAAATTTTCATGGGTTTGAGACTCATCTGTCTTCTATAGACTGTGAAAGTTTCAAGTATCTACTCACCCTAGGTTGAAAGTTGAGAATTTTTCAAACAAAGAGTGCAATTGTGTGGAAACGTCAATTTTTCGGACAACTTTACCAAGTCGGCAAAAATCAGCAGTTGTTCCGATTTGATTGAAATTCTCATGGGTTTGAGACTCATCAGTCTTCTATAGACTGTGAAAGTTTCAAGTTTCTACTCCTCCTGTGGTCTAGATACATGGGACATCGCGCGTTCTTCTGAAACGTCATCGCCATCGACCGTGAATCACCCTGTACATGCTTGTTTTTGGCGTTTCACTCAGCGCCTATCGGGTGTTTTTCATTATGCAAAATTGAGTTCGACATCGTATTACCGATTCTACTGTGCCCCGTCAGATCGAGTTAACGTTAAATTCAGGCTGGCTTAAAAAACAGGAATTTTCCCTTCTTTGACTACGTGGTGTTTCAATGTGTGAAAACCGATAGAGGGTCAACAACGTTTTCGACTTGTGCGCCATCATGGAAATTGATCTCTGAAGATGCGAGCCACTCCTACTTTTGCCAAGGAAGAACGAAAAATTCCATAACATCACTCGAAAGGGAAAATCGGCTGTTTGAAGTGAGGAAACCCTCACTTGATTGCCCGTTTTTTAACGTCCAGCGTTGCATCTGCTGAAATTTGCATCAGAAAAATAAATTAGCGGTTTGCAGCAAAATTACAGCAGTAGACATGAATCGTTAGGTGGGAATATGCGGAACCCGTGAAGACCTTTAAGCGCCAGCAAATAAAAAGCAATAACCGCAACTGGTATTTTTACGGTCGAAATAAAGGGACGAAAAACGGCCAAATTGCTT